CTGTACTTGACTTGAATCCTGCTCGGGTCAATGATTACCTCATGATTACCGGATCCGGAAGTTGATGGAGCGTCATTGTTTATTCTTCTCATAATGTTGATTTCTTATGCATTGTTCGGCCCCTGCCGGCTGAGATGGCTCTGGTTTTTGACCATGTGCTTGGCGATCGTTACATCACTGCTTAGCCATCTTTTCGATCTGTTGACTGCATGTCAACTCGAATAATCACCATCTAATAAACATGTTAATGGCAATTCGAATTTTTTTGTCATGTACACAATATGTTTCCCTTTTGATGGTGCTTGTGATGATATTTCATCAGATGGTAATTTCACTTTTTTTTATTACTTAAGGTATTCTTGATTAAATCTCATGCTAAATTAATTCTGAATTCTTTGCTTGAGATATTTATATTGGTAACCTTACAATGAAGAAGTACACAATTTACGATTACAGTATCCAAGATCCAGAAAAATAAAGGGAGCATGTATGCCTAACTGTTAGTTGATAATTGTAATATCTACAGAGTTGGTTAGCAATATCAACACCTCCCATATAATGATTATAGTCATCAACTATTCATGGAATTGCTAATTCCTTCCAATATGCATCACCAAAAACACTACACACCACACTTGCATTAGAACTAGTTTTACATAGTCATCGTCAGTTACGAATAGCTTTACAATCTTCACCAAATATTTCATGAATCATAGATAGCATGGTTACCAGACCATTATTGATCCATAAAACAGCCAAAACGTCATTAACTATCTTATCTAAAAGTGTATTCCATTTTAAAAATGATTCTCTATTCTTTAATTCTTTAGAAAATCCAGCAGAATTAGTATATGCAGTGCCACAAGCACCAATGCCTTTTTTACGTAAAAATTTAAAGAGGGGTATGCTGGAAAAGTAATTATCCATATACATATGTTACATTTTATTACTAAGAAGTTTACTAACTAAATGTGTGATGCATCCAGTTTGATTAAGACTAAGAATTGATCTTATGGATGTATCCTTTTCAATTTATGAAGTAAACATAAATACCCATGTGTACTCATGATTACATAATGAAATAATTTTGTAACCCTCTGGAGTTGGTTTATTCTTTATCCTTACTGTGTGTACACTTCATCCAGAAAAACGTACAACTATTTCGTCAACAGAAACATTTGAGTTAAGAACATAAAATTTTTTAAGAGCATCCTGTATATGTAATGCAAATAACTCTATTTTGGAATACCAAAATAGATGAGATTCATCTGGAGGCGAAACATGAAAAAGCGTTTAATCTGTTGAAACCTAACCATAGTCATAAATTCTTTGATCTCATTTAATACTTTTTTTTCTATAAAACTTCAACAGCACTAATTTTATGAACACCCATATAGATAATAAACCCAAGCTATATTTTTAAGTTATTCTTATTTAAAGTTAATGGACTCGATAGACGACCACCATCTCTACCCTTAACCTGTTCATACATATTTGTATTTACAACTATTGATTGCAATTGCTCATTGGCATATCCTGCATGAAGTGGTTGAGTATTTTGTATAGGATTAAAGGTAGAACACTTTAACATTTTATCTATGCTACTATTTTACATTTTATTAATACTCTTCACTCTCCCTCTTCCTCTACCCTTCCTCTACCCCTTCCTCTACCTTTTCCCCTTCTGCTACTAGTCCCCACATCTAACTCTCTATTCACGTGATCTTGTTCATTAGACTTGTGTCTTTCATTATTGATAACTTCCACAAGTTTGTAATTGATTATTAATTCACTATGAAAATCAGTTTCAAAAGTAACTGAATAGTGTGTGTCTGAATTCTCATCAAGTGATATTTGAAATTCTTTATTCAAAAAAATAAAAAAAAAGGAAAACAAAAGCGAAACAGATAAATTTGTAATACCACAAAACAAGATACGATTTCAATAAAGCAATAATTTTATGGTAGCTTAATAAAATTAAGCAAAAAAAAAAGTGTGTAGTGGTTAAAAATAACAGTAGGTTTCAAAAAATAATCTTTAATCGAATGCAAGACACAAACATCAACCACCAATACAAGAATTTTTGATATTCGTTATGAGGAAGAAATTGTTGCATAATTTTTATTAATCCCATCAATTTCTGATTTTTATATTCATTCCCATAATACAAGCGACCACATCTAATTCAGGAAACCAGCAGTGTACTTATGTACAGTATATACATACGTACACTCCCCTGACAAAAGTCACCGGCTGTCGATCATTTTTAGTAATGATTGGTAAAATAATAAAAATTTTCTAACCAATTTTATGGGAAAAAAATTTATTAATGTATTCAAATTTTTTTTAAAAAAAATTTTGCTAATGCTTTATTATATTTATTTATGTAATTAATATTTTGTAGGATTTCCTCTAGCTTTTTTTACAGCAAGAATAC